CAAACCTTCAACTCGGGGTACATTTCAGGGAACAATGTAACAAACTTACAATTAAGTCATCAAAATAAAAACTTATGTTTACTGAAACTCTCAATCGTCTCAACAAACAAATAACCAGGGAAAATGTCACTAATTAATGGCTAAAACCAAGAGCTCTTGAGACGGATTGAAATACTAACCGGCAAGGTGTCCCAAGTTACTCTACTATCATCAGGCTTCAAATGATAATAAGCAGACCCAAATGCCAGCCCTGCCATTCCAGCATAGAATAGTGCCCAACCCCAAACCTCACCCGGCAAACTAAAACCAGTTTCCAAACAACACCAACCAAAAAATCAAAACTCCATTGAAATCAATGCAGCAAACAAAATCAGTGCATGAAGTACTATATAATCCAGAGAGTGCAAAAAACCTGATGTTAAAAAGCCCCCCTTGCACGCAGAGCACAAAACCCAGAACGCCAACAACCAAAAATGGGAAATTTGTGATCACATTCAAGGTATTAGGCACTCCTGTAAAAAACCCAGATCATAAAATCATCAAAAACATAAATTTCAGTAAGAAGATGAGAGCACGATGAGAAATTTTACCCACAAAATTGCGCATGTCAGCGTAGAGATGGTGTTTGGGAGAGTGAGAAATCTTGGGAGTAACCAGCATTAACAACACCCAACACAGAAGCGCCCCACCCCATATCCGCCGTCTCTTCCCTCTGATTGCAAGCTGCTGAGTTGCCATCCACACCATCTCTCTCTCTCTCTGCCTCTCTCTCTAAAGTTCACTCACCCACTGCCTTTCCTCTTCTGCTAATGATTCGAAGTGTTCGACGAAATGTTGACTTTCTTTTCGGAATGTTTCGGACTGTTTGGTGAAATGTGTAAATGCGGGACCATTGCGGATGTGGTGGTGGCGGCGGTGGTGGAAAAAGTCCCTTTTGAAATGGAATCGTCGGGTCGTTTGTTCTGTTTATCTTGTTGTGGTTTGGCTATAAAGGTGAGACGTGTCAGGATCGTAAATGCCCCCACGCAGGACTGATGTTGGTAATCAATGGTGTATGATTGACTGTGATATAGCAATAAATGACGGTTATGTACTGTACAAAATCAAACGCAGTCGCGCTTCTTTACTTTTGTTTTACTTTTCCCCTGTCAATTCCAAGTTTTAATTGGTTTTTTAAAGGGGAATTTTGGTCTCTCTACACTAGAACAAAAGGTCATTTGGGATGAGTAACAATTTGGCATATGATTTTTTTTCTTTTTTCTTTTTTTTTTTAAACTAACGAAAAATCATTAAAAATTTTAGTTTTAAAAAAAAATGACAAATAAAACTGTAAGTGAATAGTAATAGAAAAAGTAAAAATGTGATTTTTCGTTAAAAATGAATAGTACTGAAAGTGTTTCGTTAAAACTACCTTTAAAATATTGGCCAAATCTAGTTAGTAAATCTTACAAATCACCTCCTTTGTCGACAAAAAATTTGGTATGATTGACACTAACAGATGGTTTTCACTAAGATTCGGTCCTAAAATACAAAAGTCACATTCATTTATTAGAGACGCATCGGAGCTTTTCTAGATGAAGAGATGTAGGCAAAGTATTTCTACGTAAGTCTTTTTTGGGTTTTTGTGACTATATTGAACTATCAAGTTAATACATTATTTGTTTGCAAAAATACTGGTCAGTGTCCAAGTGGTGCGATAAACAGAAGAACCAACCCTAGCTGCCGATCCCTAGCTTTGGCTTGGGGTTAGCCGCAATGTCATTTCCTCTTCCCTATTCACGCTCCCCTCTCTTTAGGTTCCCAACCCCCTCTAGGGTTGTTGTTTCCTTAGCTGTGTCTCAGCTTTTCTGAGCTCTATCCCAGGTTGAAAATAATATCTTCTTTTCTATTTTAAAATTTATTCTATTATTAACTATTCAAACTCGACCTGTTCGTTTTTAAAACAATATTTTCTTCTTACTCAATGGTTCACCATGGAGTTTTATTATTTAGCATGTGAATAGTTGTTTTTTAAAATTTAGAGAGCAATTGTTTATTTTGTTACGAAGAAAATCTTTTACAACATTTTGTTTTAACTGTTGGTTATTCACAGCACCGTTGGAGATGCTGTAATTACTCTATTATTCCAATTTTTCTTCAATGGTCTGTGTCTAGACTACTGAATAGCACAAAAAATAAAATGTTGCGATTCAGTTGATGAAATATTATTTTTTTTCCTTTCACTACGAATTAAATAGATAAAAATTTTAACCACTTAATAATTTGTACTACTAAAAATGAACCATATTTTTCACGCATGACTTAAAAAGTCCACACGAGGAATAAGTTACGGTTGAAACGCATCCACAAGAATCCTTTGTTTTCGAGTCTGCAACGAGGACTTAAGCTAGGGTTGAAATGCACGCAAGAAAACACAACCATTTGGTTCCATATGCGTAGCACAAGAACAGGACAAGGCATAAAAAGCAACACCACTTCACCTTTCACCAATCCCCTCACATCACCATGTTACGAACATTGAACGGTCCATATTAATCCATTTTTTCTTGTAGACATGATGTTTATTCAACGTAAAATGTGCATTTGTCAAACCCTATCAAATAATATCCCCTTTGGATTATCCCTAAACCGTTCTCTTCTGTAGATATTTATTTCTGAGAGACGTTCCTTGCGTCTAAGAAAAAATATCTTCGGTTACACACTCAAGTTAAATGTATATACATTATCAACGACATAAATATCGAAATGATTATGTTTAAGATTAATCATGGAATTTTACGTGCGCGATTTAAAATAAATATCATCATATGATTTGCTTTGGTAATAATATTTAACATTATGCTGTGTGAGAAAGATGCATGCTTGTGGAAGCGTTATGTCATTTTCCATACAACACATACATACTGCAGTGATAAATTGAATCCGACACTGCCATCAGACTGACTCAAGGCAGAAACTTTTCATTTTCAACGAAGAGGCAATCAATCAGGCAGCAACGCATATAATATTCCCACAGCTTTTGCTTACTCGAAAAAATACCACGCCCTTGTTTCACACAAGGTAGCAACTTATAACTAAGAATCGGAAATGCCCTTCCAAGATTAATCATATTTTTTTTGACAAAATAATATTTTAAGTGTTTAAAAATTTATTGGTATTTTACGAAGAATTAGTTTCGAAAATACTTTTACAAAATTTCACTCATTTTAATAGGACTTCTAAACAAGCTATCATCTTTTAGGTAAATAAAATATTTACTTTTTTATATTAATTTTTAATTTTATGGTTTTGATTAAGTATTTAAACAATTTGGCTATTCAATCAAATAATTAATCATCAAGTTGAGCATCTTAGTAGACCTCGATAAAAACCACTTGCAAAAGTTGTTTGAGTTGAAGACTCAAAGGCATCTATGTGTTCCAAATTACAATTATTCAATTATTGTAGTGAGCTACAAGATCTACATGTGACATTGCTTTGCTTCCACAGCAATTATAGCATCATCATCCTCCTTTTATTTTGTTTAATTTCCAAGTATCAAATTCCTCACAATCCCCCCAACAACTATTAAACTTTACACTGTAGTTGTAGATATTTAACGAGAAGAGGCCTCGAGTTCGACCACACAAATTATAGCATCATCATTACAAATGTATATCGTTTTCGAATTTGATACATAATTATTGTTGACCATATCGTAGCTATGTTGTGAGTGCGTTATTAGTTCAACACATCTCGAATAGTAATCTAGTGATTAACAATAGAGATTAATAGTAAAAAAGGAGATGAGAAAGGATAATTTGGGAATTAGATCCCATCCGGATCCATTTTGTGGAGATCCTAGAGATTACCACATCTTAACTATTCATCGTGTGGTCAAAAATCATTTATTTTTTTATTTAAAATTAAACATAAATAGTATCTGACGAAAACTGACCACACGATATACGATAAACGGTTAGGATATGAAAATCCTTAAGATCCCATAAAGTGAATTTGAAGAATATCCTCTTCCGATAATTTGGACCTATTGTCGCTAAAAGTGATTAAGTATAAGGTACATCATCATTAAAATCCTCAATTTGGTAGTAAACCCTAGCAAATTATATATCCACATATTATCTTAATTTTGGAAAAACCAAGACGAAGATATGTATTACTTATTTACTATGCATTCGTACTATTATTTGTGTCATTTTTTAATAGAGGCAATATTTTTGCTAGTTTATTGGTGTTTGTCCCCACATTGTTGAAGGCTGCCCCAGGTTAGCAAAGATGATATATATTTACGATGAGTTTAATACGTAATTATGGATAGTCTCGTCACAGTTATGTCACCTTATTGTAGCACTGCTTGTACTATTTTAAAAGTGTGAGTAAATATCTTATTGAATGTAAAGAGAAGTGAATAAAGTGTAATAAAATTATCAAAACTAATTTTATGATACAATCTGGTAAGGGAAAGATGATTAACACAAAGCTTTGTGTGACGTTCTTAACAACTCGAGCAACATATTCCATACAACAATCAGAACTGTTCAAGTTGTGAATTTTTTTTATAGTCAATACCATACCAAATGCCAGCTACCTCTCCTTCCACCACGCCCCAAAACCCACATGGGCTACAACGTAGTAGAAGGTTAGAAAACTAACCAGATATTTTCAACCAAATTTTTTTTTAAATAACGCCAAATTAGTCAACAGTCTGGAAAATGAACGAAGATTAAGCATTGATTTTAAAAATCAAACGGTTGAAGATTGTTCAAAATACTTGGTAGGCTGGATTGTCGAAAACAAATATTTTCATCACCAAATTTGAATGGAAAATACTTTAGACTCCGTCATTTCTTCTTACATATAAATCACAGTTACCAACTGCGAATTAATCTGAGCCTTACAAGCTCTACACTGCTGCAAATAAGATTTTACCAAATACCCTCAAATCGCGGAAAATGAAGTCTTCCCACAATGTTATATGGTAACGCTACGGTGGAACCAGATGACGTCATAAAGGGCAAATATTTGAACAAATAGTACAAACACAAAGCAGAAGAGAAGTGAGCAGATCTACATTGCATCCATTCGACCCCCAAAATTAACCAAAATTAAAAAAACCACCCAATCCGAGAAAATAATTAAAATTTTCCCTTCACTTATCACTCCCTCTAGTAATCATGTCCTTGTACCTTATGATCGAATCCAACCGCTGCAACTTCAGCTGGTTCTTGAACCTGTTGATGAAATCATCCGCCTTCGCATCCACCTCGTCGTCGTCCTCCGCCGCCTTCGCCACCTTCCTCTCCCTCATCGTCGCCGGCCGGCGAATCTCGGCGACATCATCCTCTGGAAAGTGAGCGAAAGCAGACTTGGAGCTCGCAGATTTCTTCATCTTCTTCGGGAGCTTGGCAGGCACCTCGCCGGACGCCGGCTTGGTGTCCGACTTGGTCCGGCTCACATGGTGGTCCAGCAACGGCTTCAGCTGACTGAAAACCTCCTCCAGACTGCTCTGTTTATCCCCTGCTTCTAAAAAATCTGGAGTTTCTGGTTCTGGGTGTTCGTGTTCTTCAAAACGGTCGTCATCTGGGAACTCGTCGTGCTCGGGAGCTTGCTCGAAGTGGGATTCCGGCTCATGGGTTTTGTGCGGAGGGGCAGCGGCGGCGGTGGGCTGAGATGGGTAGAAATTGATGGACTTGAGCCGCTGCAGCAGAGAAGGGGATCTGGTCAATTGGGGCTGTTCGAGCTCGTGGGTGTGGTTAAAAGCGTAATGTGTGGCCTCGGTAGTTTCTGGGTGTTGCTCGAAAGTGGTGGCGTGTGGCTCCGGGGATCTGTACTGGTAGAGGTTGATGGATTTGAGCCTCTGCAGCATAGATGGAGATCTGGCGAGGCCTCCGCCTTGGTGGTGGTTCTCGTGCTGCTGCGGGTCCTGGTGTTTCTGGGTGGAGCCTAAGTTTGAAGCAATGGCGATGGTGCCAATCATGACATTGAGGAGGAGGAAGAGGACAGTTGGAGTGAACCAGCTGTTCATGGAAGCCCAAATAGAAGGCAGGGATGTCACAGATTCTTCAAACATGGCTGACAGTGTTTAGAGAGAGAGAGAGAGAGAGAGAGAGAGAGAGAGGAAGAAAGGTGAAAAATGGGGAGAGGAAGAAGAAGGGCAGAAATAGAAAGCTTCTGTGTGCTTCTATGTCTCCTTTTTATTTGGGTGGGAGATTTTCATCATCTTGTGCAGGTTTCTTGGTATTTTGTGTAGAAATTTTATTTATTGAATTTTTAATTTTCATTTTTCATGATCTCGAGGCACGCGTCGCTGAGTGATGGGTTTGTGTGTGAGAAACAGACAGAAAAGAAGCGGTGGTTGTGACAAAAATGTGAGCTTGTGGTTGGATTAAATAGAGGGTTAGCGATTAATTATTTGCAATTCGGTTGTGAAAAACAATTTATTCACACTCAGAAATTTTGACTTTGATTTCCTTTTTTTCAATATCGTTTATACGAAGGAAAAAAAATAATAATCATTTAGTACTATATTCTAATAGTTTCTTTTTTTATTTGTAAATAAGTTGTTTTATGTTTGATTTTCTTTGAGTCACGTTATTACTCTCTCCCTTAGAGTAAATAATATCTTTGGATCAACAAAAAAAAAAAAAAAAAAAGAGTTGGAAAGAGTTTTCATTCTTTACACCTGAAGTTCCGAGTTTGATTTTAGATCTAATAGGCAACTACAACATTTGCTTGTGCACATGAAATGACGCAAATGAGAACCAAAGGACCAGGGAGATAACTTGGGAATCACTTGACCAAGGATAGCAAATTCGTTCGACGTCGCTAATCATGGATTCAACATGACTAAGTCTCACACTTGATTTCAAGGAGGAGAAAACTCATCCTCTTCTTAGATTGATTATAATTTACTTAATTGACTACCTTAAAGATACATTTGGAGCTTTGTAAATAGGGGGATATGTACTCATTTGATACAAGAGATAATTAAAACTAAGGATAATGCTAAGGAGATTAAATTTGCAATCTAAATTATGTGTCACTAATAGGAATTAGCACGTTTATTAACGCTTAAATAATAAATCAACCATCAACTTTCATGTCTTTTAATTTCTAAAATTTAGTTTAACTAGCATTATTCTAAAACTAAAGAAAGCAGCTTGTAGTTACAAATTACAATGCAACCTAATTAAAAGAGCTTTAATCATACTCTCACCAGCCATTTATTCTCAAGACACTACATCATGAAACGACGCGTTTATAAAGCTCCTATTGCCCTTAGTCAAGGGTTATCTCCAATCTTCATAGATGGTGGCGTACAGTAGAAGTGGAGTGGAGTTTTCCTTGTACCAAATTTATGTAGCAAGAGAACAACAGTTGGGTTTTAGGATGTTCTTCTTCCATGCAAACAGTTGGGTTCGATTTTGCATGTCTAAAATGTACCCATACACACGAAGTGATAAACCAATATTTGGATTCCACATTACAATCCGTAATTTAATGCCTAAAAATTTGAAAATTAGCTAGATTGATTGAGTGCAATCTCTCTCATACCAATTCATTCCCTCTCATGTTTTAACTTTCACAGCTCATTACCACCTCTCAGAATCTCAGTTTCAAGTACGCAAACATGTTGACCATTCACAACTCTGGTAAGTGATTCCTGATTGGAATGCTTTCACTGGGACCTATGAGGACTCACATGTGGTAGGGGCAATCAAATTGAAACATAAAGATAGTGGAAGTATTTGTAGTATAAATTAAGGTGTATTTTAAAACATTTTTGCCGAAAATAGGGGCAACATGGGCAATGGGCATGCCCGGCGTTGTCTATTAAATTTCGAATGTCAACACACGGCATGGTAACATGCTGACTAACATGGCCCTCCCTCATCTTCTTCCGTCCTCCATTATTACCAAGCTTCCACCACCACCACCACCACAATTTCTTTTGTTTACTCCAAAAACAGTCGGCAGCAGGCCACCATAATACAAATGGGCTCGCTTCTCATTGACTGGCCCAACTTGTTAGAAGCCTGATGGACTCGGTTCATGTCTAGCCCAAATACAAAACTTCCTCCACATCATTTTTCACGAGCGAGCACTTGAGATCTAACTGATTGTTCCAAAACAGTTGGTACCAATACAACGGCTTGTGGTTTTTAGTTTACAAGATTTATCCGGAGAATGGTGGCAACTTTCTCGAGGTACAAAATTTGGGTAACCAAATATTGTTCAAATATTGGTCAAACTGAAATTTCTGATACTTCAAAATAGCAACGTGTGAACAAAACGGTCGGAAATTTGAAAGATCTCCGTTTTATGATACTACAAATTCAACAATAAGAGAATCCGGCCAAACAAAACACAGTAAAGTATACCCAAGACTTGAACAAAGACGAGGATAATTTTCCTAAAAGAAAAAGGAGCTGGCTGCTGGCCTAATTCAGCAGTTTTCTGAACTCAAACACACAACTTGTGCTTCACTGACCATGCCTCTTGGGCTCAAAGCAATACAAGCTTTGTACTCGCACCACCCCTGTCCTCGGTCTTTTCCTGACTATTTCCAGTCCCTGACTCTTGCCAATAACGATGCGCATCGAGATCTAGGATACCCCTACCTTCCGACCATTCCCCTCCTCCAACATAGTACCTTCGGGAGGGGTTGAAACGATTTGCGCAAGACCATGCACCTTCAGTAGCATGAAAATAGCAAACTCAGTTTCGTACCAATTACCTACACAGCTCGCTATTTCAATTTCTTTAAGTTGACTATGGGTGGACTCCAGGGGTTCCCACGGAGCTTCACAACTTATCCGAGTATCTGATTTGCCCAGCGTATCATCTCCATGATGTAGGCATTGATTATACATATGATAGGTATGGGTAGATTACGAGAAACCACTTGATATTTTGGTCCCGTTGAGTGGTTCGGAACCCGATGTTATTGGATTCTATTGAGTGGTCTGGAATCCTTGCTTTTGCTCATTTCCATAAGATTAATCTAGAACCCTATACTCAAGTAAGTGGGAATTACCCACAATAGACCTTGTGAATATAAATTAGATTTACCATGTTTATTACACATAATCCAAGTAGGGAATTATATAGAGTTCCTTAATTAAATTCGTAAAATGATATGTTATCGCATTGACTTAAGATCATGCATCTTTGATTCATGAATTGATTAATTGAAGGGATTGTGGAATGATGTTATATATGATTGTATTAATATGATTAGACTCATTGATTAATGTGGCTTGAGATTAATATTGTGCTTTGTTGGTTCTTTAATATGTTGCATGCTATGAATTGCGATTTTATGTGGGAAACATGGTGATTTATGTGATGGATGAAGTGGAAATGTTAAGTGTCATATGAGATTGATATGTAGCCCTGAACCTAGTAATTTCATGCTTGTCAAGTTCTAATAATTGATTGATGAAAGCTATAATTTTCTACTTAAAAGTATGGTGATACAAGTGTAGTGTTTGGGAACTACGAATGGCTTGATCCTTGTTTAGGGTACGTAGGTAGTCTAACGAGAAGGTTAGATGTAGTCATAAAGTATACGAAAAATTACTAGGCGATTCGATTATCGAGTTGTGCTTTGACATATCCTAGAGGTGGGGTAGGTTAGAGATATGGGTATTTGGCGACATCATATGTCGATCTTGGATGAATGTCGGGATCGGGACGTGACAATTGGAGTGCAGATGTGCAGTGAAAATTTTATCGACTAATGTAGTATCTAGTCGAAGAGTTTTCAAAATGTTAGGCGGAGATTCAGGGAGAACATAGCCCTGCAGAGAACTTATCTCCGGCTGCATATAAATTCTTGCAAGTGGCGGGTGAGGGAAGACATCAATCTCTTCAACTCCCTTTGCATATCATAAATCATCAATTAAGATAAGAAAAACAATATAGGGAGAATATATATTTACAAAATAATTTACTCTGAATCAATAGCTTTCTTGGGCAATAGTCTAGTCTAATTTAGGGTTTAGGTCTGTCTCTCATAGCTTGGGGAGGAAGTTAATTCAATACCATATTCATGAGTACTATTGTCTTGGGTTGCTTGACCATTGGGATTCAGATCGCCACCATGCACGGAAGAATTAGGAGTTCCCACCAGCACTTGATGAACAATGTGCGGTCCAGCGGGGTCGGAAAAGCTTGATGATGACCTTGGGGGACAGCTGCTGTTTGGTGAAGATTCAGCCGCAGCTATACCATAATCACTATCTTGCAGCGTGCTCTTCGTAGAAGCATCGGAAGTGAGGTCTTTTCCGTAATAATATACTCTTAATATTTCATGAATTCTTGTCCGAAATGAGGCTTCGGAATCTGCGCGTGTCAAGATGTGGCTATGCTCATAGAGGAACATAGCCGTAAATATGAGGATAGCTAGTGATGAAGCAACACCAGCAATGATGAAGAGGCCCCAAAAGCTATCAAGACTAAGAGTGTTGGAACTTTCCACGGGGTTGGAGTTTGAACAGCTTTCGTTTTTCTTGAACCACTTATCTTCGATGGCCTTCATTTTATCTCCCTCGTGCACTTTAGTGATTGCTGTTGAAAAATCGTGCGTGAGAAGCGAACGTTTCGGAAAGACCTGCAGGTAAGCCAAAGGAAAAATAAGTCCCACACCAGAAAACATGTACTAGTTAAAGGAGAGAAGCCCAGAAAGAGAAACAAGTGTACTTACAAATGCAAAGCCATCGCCTTTAAATGTTGGCTCGACAATGGTATATTTTGAGCAATAAGTTGAAACAAAAAGTTTCAAGTAGGGCGTTTCATCAAAAGCAGCAGAAATACCTCCGTTTTCATTCCCCTTGCGAAGAAGTTCATCCAATTCTTCTTCATATTTATAGGTCCTAAATTTATCATCCTGAAATCCTAGCTGTTTCAGAATTCCATAAATAAAAGAACCTGCTTTGAAGCCAACATAGTCCCCGTTCCTCATGAGATGGTTTAAATCAGTAACGACTGGTTTGAGCTGTTGGACTGTTAAAAATGACGTTAAACTAGCTGCATAGCTTTGAGTGAGTATGAGGACAACAAAGCACCAGATGACCACTACAAACCTAGCCAAGTTGCTCGCTACTCGCTCCCCTGATTTAAAATTCAAAAGAAAACCCATTTACCATTTGGATTTACTTTTTTAAGACTGGATTCACAGAGTATATATCGATTTGTTTTAAAAATATTAATTACCAGTAAAGTGTAATTAATCATGAAGGAACTTACGATGTGCAAAAACCATGGTTGAGAAGGAGAACCACATACTTGCGCCAATTTGGTGATGTGCAC